ACTCAGACCAGTAATATTTGGGGTCACAAGTTTTTGCCATGGATATTTTGTGGGTCTGAAGATAAAAAGTTTAAGAACCACTGATTTAGATGGTTCTCATTCTTTGTGATAGTGTGCAAAATCTTTTCTGTTTCCAACGTCAGCAAGAATTGAGGCGTCTTTAAACGAGCTTGAACCAAGAACCCAGTTTAGAATTGATTAGAGATCAGTGGGAGATCTTTATGATTTTTATTTAGTTGATTCATCTCAATTCATGCTTCTGGAACCTGACTGAAAACTGAAAAAAAAAAATACCTGATTTAATGTTGCTTTATGTTGTGTTTCCACGTGACTGTTGGAGAGGTTGAATCAGGACACCCTGAGTCCTGGGCCTCCTTCTGCTTCTCTTCATTTAAACCAGATGATTTCGGTRGACTCACAGGAACAAGAAAGAAGCAAACGAGTAAATCTCTGTTGTTTATAGTAAGTAAAGGTCGTATCTCACTGGGCTGTGACCAGGAGGTGACCCGGGAGGTCCTGATGGAGTTTGCAGAATGTCTGGTGATATTTGTGCTTCTTAGTTTTATRTTGTGTTTTAGAGGCGTGCAGCTCTGTCACTAAAACTACACCAGTGATAATAAATAAATAAAAAACCGGTCTAAATCTGCCTGTCTTCAACATGAAAGTATACTCAAAGTAGACACATTTAGTAAACACATTTACTTTACCTACTTTTTAGCTGGATTACTGAGATGCATCAGGACATTTACTTTACGTTTGCTTAAAGTCAATGTTCATCTGTTTTAAACATGGAGGAAGCTGTCGGAGTGAACTGAGGAGGGTACAGCAAATAATGTGCACAGACAGGGTTGCACTTTTACAAACCGTGTGCACAAAACTAGACATTGGGCCTCATGCAAGAACATGTTCGTATTTTTATCCTAAATTTCTCTTACTTTTGTTCGTACAAAGGGTTCGTACGATCATATCACGTCAGATTCAACAAACTCTTCTATCTTCAGGAAAAGTGTGTAAATGAGCTGCGTAAACTGATGAATGTGTATCAGATGCTTGTATGAGGTGCCGTTTGTAAAGTTACACAGTCAAAAATTACCACCAATATTTTTGTTTTATTTAGCCTTTTATAAGAAAAAAAGAACAGATTTATTTTTCAAAGTCTGTTTTTCACCATATGATTCATACATTTATAAACGTCATAGTTTATAAACTAAATAC